GAGCGTGCTACCGCTTGAGCCACATCCCCAGCCCAATAATAATTCTTGATGGGTGGTGAGACTTCAGATAATTTACTGCTGTCTCTATACCTTTCTTCATTGCTTGAATTCTTTTCTTAAAAGCATGTATTATTTTACAAACACAATTCAGTGTATTTATAGAGACAGAGAGAGCTAGAAAATGATAATAATGATGGGTTACACAGGAGCACTTCCTGATCATCAGGCACCATTCTTAAGCCCTTTACTTGCATTAGGTTGAATCACATGAAATTGCCAAAAGTTGCTGTTCTCGACCTACAAAAAACAGCAGTGCCACCTAGCCCAATTTATATTCATTCTAATCCTTGAACAACCCTAGAGTTGTGGAAATGCAAAGAGAAATCAAGTGTCACCACAGCCTGCAGAGCCCCCACCCCACTCAGCCCTGTGCCCTGCCTGGCCCTCACACTCCTCCTCCCCAGGCCAGGCTCACACACAGGCAGAGACATGCCTCTCTATCCCAAGATGCCTTAAGAGGCAGCATCAACCATTACCTGAGTGCGGAGGGTAAGGCATGTAGCCTTGCTCTAACTCAGCCTATCCCCTGAACGAGGACACTTCAGGTTTCTAGCCAGGACCCCAGAAATGAAAACCCACAAAAAAGATATGCTAGACCAGCCATCCCCAGATGAGTCCCCCAACCTGGCATGGAAGCAGGACACACTTAAACAGTTTCATGTTTATTTTCAGAAAGTGATGAACACAAAGAAATACATCGAGACACCACTCTCTGTGCAATAAATAGCTTTCCCCATCAAAAAAAAAAAGACAAGGAAAAAGCACGTGCACATACAACCACCACAAACAGGACCTCGCTTGGCAAGATGTGAACTGTCCCCATCCCAGCCCCTTCCTCTCTACTGCTCTGTCTTGTCTCCAAGCAGGTGGGGCCCCGGCCAGCTGCCCATTCACCTGAGTCCTCTCCCTGGCCCTGGCTGGGCAACTCCGTGTGTCTTTATTTTCAGATCAGGGATTAATACACTCACAAATAAAGCCAGTGAAAGCGACTCCACAAAGAAGCAGAGCTGGCCTTCCCCATCTGAGCCTCCCACCCCACCAGAAGCCACAAAGCTCCTTTGTGTCCAAGACCTTGCGCCTGTTTTCTGTTCTCCATGGGACCAACAGCGAGAAGCAGCACCGGGTTCGTGACCGTAGTTTGGGCAGAGGAAGGAGCAGGTGACACTCCTCTGACATTTCATTGTGGAACAGGAAGTGAACCCCAGAATCCTTATGGGCCCACCTCTTCCCCAACTATATGGAGAAGGGACCGAGGGAGCCGGGGTCTTCTCCACCCTGCGTCTGTGATGGAGTCGGTTGGCACCCTCCAACCTACCAACACTGGATCTGTTCATTTCTCCTCGACTTCGGCTCAATTTGGAAAATAGCTATAAAACTGGCTTTCGGCTTCCTTATCAAAAGGAGAAGGGGCCCCAGCAGGGGAGGAGCTGTCACCACTGGAAGGGTACGGGGACACCCGCCTCCTCTTAGAGTCTCCTTCGCCCAGTCCTGAGTCACTGGGCTCTGGCCGGATGGGGGTGACTTCGGTCCACAGCGAGGGGGAGCCCTGGTCCTCTGGCCCCCGCCCCTCAGAGGCTCCTGAACCAGGTTCCATGGGCAGAGTCCGCATGGGGCGAAACCAGCCAGCTGGGCCCATCTTTGGAGGGTACTGGGGAGCCACAGGCCAGCCAGCTCCAGGTGCCAGGACCTCCTGGCCTCGATAGTAGGACACGGTGGGCCCGGGGGCGGAGGGCAGGAATGCGGGCTTCATGCTGACTGCTCGGAACTCAGCCTCATAACTGTGGTCCCGGGGGGCCCCCAGCCAATATGGCTGGGATACCACATCCTTGGCCTGGCCAGGAAGCTCAGGGTAGAAGCGGCTGGGAACGGGATACTGGTTGGACAGGAGAGGTGAGTAGGGGTCTCCTCCAAGCAGTTGACAGTTGGGTCCAGGCGGGGAGGGGACGCTGGTGTCAACAGATGCATACATGCTAAGAAAAAAAATTGAAAGGAAGATATGAGTCACAAACACAGCCAGTCACCTAGGTCCTGCCTGGTACACCACGTCCTTTCCCTGACCCTCCCTTCCTTAGTCTGCCCACCCTCCAGCACCCTCCCTACCCTCCAGGGCAGAGAAAGCACTAATCTAGAGTTTCATTTCTGGAGGGACCAAAAGTAAGTTAAACTCGGTGGCACTTACGACTCAAAGTTCTCCCGGAATCCTTTGGCAAAAGGGTTATTATCAATTTTCAGCTGAGTGATCTAGAGAGAGGGGAAACAGAGTCACCCAAAGCCTGGGTCTGGAGCCTGAGAACTTCCAAAATCCCTCCCAAGGAAGACGGCCGGCCCCAGTGCTATCCCTCTGCCCTATCCCAGGCTCAGGCCCCCATGGCCTGGGCAGCCTCACCTCGGCGTTCTGGTAGGCGGTCACCGCAATAAACTGGGTTTCTTGGAAAGTGAAAATATGCGTGTTGGAAGCGTTGCAGGCGGACTCTGGCTCGCCGTCGTTTACCTCCACGATGTGCAGCCGGGGCTGGTACTTATGGAGGGACTGCAGCACGATCATCTGAAGAGGGAGTCAGGTGGTGGTGGGTGGGGAGGGAGTTCCATGCACCTGCTCCCTCTGCGGTGGCCTTAGGTCTGGATGCACAGCCCTGTGGAGCCCTCCTCCCCCATCGACGACTGGCCCTACCATGAGACTAGAAGGGCTCTGAGGTCATCTTGTGCCCTCCCCTGCCCTACCCCCAGGTAACTTCTTCCAGGTCTTCCAAATCCAGTTGCCTACGTCTTGGGGGCACCAGTTCTAGACTCCCGCCCCATTTTCCATCCCCAGAAGTCCACTGTGATCAAGAGATTAGCACAAGAGGGCCTTTTCGGGATAAGTGCACAGGATTTCGCAGTATGGAAATACTCCATATACCTACCCTGGGATACTGGGACTGACTCTAGGCCCATCCGAGTGACAAATCATGGCAGCCTGGGACTCCTTGAAGAGGTCCCCAGGTTGGCTTGGCCTGTGTTGGCCTGAATGTGACCCCCACCTAGATTCAGCTTCCTCCCATATCATCTTCCTCCCCACATGGATGGGAAAGAACCAGAATTGAGAGGCAGGAAAGAGACTCTTCCAGAACAGAATCCCCCCCACACACCCCCTCCTGTGGTCTAGGAGGTACCAGATTCCAGGTGGGTGGCTTCCGGGGTGGAGGTCCTACCTGGGTCATGTTATTGGAGGCTCCCTTGTTGTTGGTGAGCTTTAGTTTCCCAAATGAAACTTCCTGGCGCATCCAGTGGGCTCCAGTGTTGGGGGAATCTGGGTGGACGTACAGACGGTTCCCTGTGGACAGTTAACCTCTTAGGTAAGCAGCCCCGGGGCAGACCCTTGGTGATGTGGAGCTTGCCCCGTTCTGAAGGGGAGAAGAATATAGGGAAAGGACCAGACAGAGCAGGGCAGCTGTGGCAGAGAACTGAGCAGGGGACAAGCTAGGACAAAATAGAAAAGTGAAGACAAACACAAGATAGAGCGGGGTGGGAAGGGATGTGGAATTCAGTCCTCCACGCCAGGGGATCCACCAGGGGGCGCCCGCTCTTGGAGAAAAAGCAAGCCCACGGCTCCCTAGGGACACATACCTGGCATGCTGCCCTCAGCCTTTCCGCACTGCACCCACTTGCCACTCTGATACCGCCAGTGATGCTGGTCCACCAAGACCACATCCACAAACATCCTGTAATGGCTGGTGGGTTCCAGCCCAGCCACAGTGAATGACAGAAATGGGAACATCCGCCTGCAAGAAAGAGAGCCCCCCAGGATCCATCAGCCCCAGCTCTCTGTCATTCACCTGTGTGCACTTGGGGTGCTGGAGCCCGCCTCCACCCGCTCACCACAGCCAGCAGTAAAGGGTTCAGTAAGTTTGCCAGTTGGTTGTTAAATACAGCCATAATTAAAATTCAATTGCATAAATTTACAATTGAATACATTTGATGAAAATCCAAGGTAACCCATACTGAGAAATCATCACTTCCCATTACTTTACTAACTCTTGAGGTGACTTATGCCTATTGTACCCATGCAGTGAAGGTACAGAAGGTGGCTTGCTGCGCATCTCCCCCCCAACTCCATGTTCAACTACATACGCTGGTGGCCGAAATCAGCCATAGTAGAATATTTATATGAGAATCAACAGTTATAGAGTTTGTTTTTTTTTGGTGGTGAGGGGTACCAGGGATTGAACTCAGGGTCACTTGACCACTGAACCACATCCCCAGCCCTATTTTGTATTTTATTTAGAGACAGGGTCTCACTGAGTTGCTTAGCTCCTCGATTTTGCTGAGTCTGGCTTTGAACTTGCGATCCTCCTGCTTCAGCTTCCCAAGTTGCTAGGATTATAGGCATGTGCCATCACTCCCAGCAGAATTTGCTTTTTTGCTCTCTCTCTCTCTCTCTCTCTCTCTCACTATCTTTCTGCAGGGCGGCAGGGATTGAGCCCATTCTCACATGCTAAGCAAACTCTGTTCCACTAAGTTATACCCTCAGCCCAAGGACTTTTTAAAATGTTTTCCTTTCAGAGGTCTCTAACCTTAGGGTGTTTCCTAGGAGGGGCAAAGCACAAGCCGTAATTTATAGGCCATTCCCAGCAGGTCCTTGTACCTCAGTCCCCATCCATCCTCTCCACTGTGACTCTTCCCACTCTGTGCACTGTGCTCCTAGCCCCAGGGCACCCACCACAGGCCTTCCTGGTCCCACACTCCTGGGCCTGACATCTGTACACAACCTGCCCCAGGCCTGGATCTTCAGAGAAGCAGCTATCATCCTAGGTGGACACGAAGCTTCCCAACCCCGTGAAAGAAGGTCAAGGTCTATCAAACACAGTCTTCATGCTCAAAGTCTTGGTTTCCCAGGAAAAGCAGAGGAAGTTAGGGGCTGGGATGCTGCAGTATCCCCCACCGTGCCAGTTAAAGATTCAAAAAGCAAACCGTCTCCTGCCACCCCTGTCTCTACCACTTCCACCATCACTACTCCCATCATCACCATCGTTCCACTACCACCCCACTGTCACAACCACCGTCACCCTCACCACCATCTCATCACTACAACCACCACCAACAGCACCATCGGGACGGCTGCCACCTCCATGATCACCATTCCAACCACGCTCCCGCTAACCACCACCTCCACCGTCACACAACCACCACTTCACCTTCCCAAAAGACACCACCTCTGGGGGCGCCAAGGCCATCCATCACCAGCTTGAATGGCTGAGCCTCTGTCTTCAAACCCAAGCAGGAAGAGAAGGGCTGTCAGAAGCGCCTTTCATGCCCACACACCTCCTCCTCCCATGGAAGTCCTGTAGCATGAGGTTTCCTGGCCGCTGAGTCAGGAAACCTGGGGAGGGAAAGTTCCAGGGGTCAAGGTACACTTTGGGGTGGGTCCTAGTCCCATAGCCAGAACCCTGACAATCTTGAGAAGGTCTCCTAGGAGGCTGCTGTCATATTCCTGTCTTCCCCAGACTCCTGAGCTGAGAAAAATGAAATTTCTTGGCTTTTCTCAAACTAAAGCTTGGTTTTCTTCACCCATAAAATAACTCCTGATCATTTTTTCTTTGAAAATTGTTGAGAAGCTAAAAAAAAAAAAAAATGAAACTCAGCTCATTTCTCTCCTGTCCAACCTCCATCCCACCTTCTCCCAGGCCCAGAGTTCTCAAAGTACCCGGGCCTTGGAAGATCCTGAGCAAAGAAGAGACCTGGTTCCAGGCTCTGGGCCCCAGGGGCTCAGCAGGCCAGTTGCCTGGAGGAATCAAAGTTGAGGGATTAGGCATTGAACAACCTGGAGTGAGAGAATACTCTGAACACGCTGCTCTCATCAGTTCAATATGCAGTGGTGGGAAGGTCACTCAAATATTTCCTATATTGTAACTGGTTCCATATTCAAACTTGCAGGAATAACGGAATCGAAGAGAACTTTTTTTTTTTTTTTTCAGTGTTGGGGATAGAATCCAGGGCCTCACACATACTAGGCAAGTGCTCTACTACTGAACTATAAACCCAGCCCTGAAATCCACTTATTGAGCCTCTACTTATACACCAGCCAGTTCATCAATCCAGTCCTTGAGATAAAAAATGTTGTTTCCAATTTTATATTTGAAGAAACTGGGGTTTGGAGAAATTTGGTGACAGTACGCCCCCCCACACCCCGTTTTGTTTTGATAACAGGGATTGAGCCCAGAGGTGCTTTCCCACTGAGCCACATCCCCAGCCCTTTTTATATTTTACCTAGAGTCAGGGTCTTGCTAAATTGCTTAGGGCCTCGCTAAATTACTGAGGCTGGCTTTGAACTCACAATCCTCCTGCCTCGGCCTCCCAAGCTGCTGGGATTACAGGGGTGAGTCACCACGCCCAGCTTCCATTCTGCTTTTATTACAAATAGCCGGAAATGGAGAAGACACAGATGGCATGCAAAAGGGAGAGGAAAACGGAGGTCGTCTGGGTTTCACCCTAAAAGTGCAGAATCATCACCAATTAGAATCTCTAAGTCATCCTCTAATTTACATGACACTTGCCTGAAAGGAACCAGGAATGGAGAATGGGTCTAGTACCACACTGAGCCCACCAAACCACTTACCATCCCATCCTCAGAGGACAGAATCCAAGACCCCAGTTCCTCTGCTGCCCCTAAGAGCCAGCCTGCCTCAAGATGATCCACAAGGTAGCTGGTAACCAACCCCTGAGATCCCGGAGCACCAGTTACATGCTCCACCTCACAGTTTTTTCAAATGCAAATTAAAATAACAAGTAAACACAGTTTTTGTCAGTTGTGTTTTAAAAATTGATAGCATCTACTGCTTAAGAGGCTGCAGGAAAGAGGATTCTCTCAGAAACTACTGGGATATAAATTGGGATCAGTTTTTAAGAGTGTATTCTGGCCAGGAGTGGTGGAACACACTTTTAATTCCAGTAGCCCAGAAGGCTGAGACAGGAGGATGGCCAGTTTGAGGCCAGACTCAGCAATTTGGTGAGGCCCTAGCAATTTAGTGAGACCCTGCCTCAAAGTAAAAAATAAAAAGGGCTGAGGATGTGGCTCAGTGGTACAGTGCCCCTGGGTTCAATACCCAGTACAGAAAAAAGAGAGTATTCAGGGCTGGGGATGTGGCTCAAGTGGTAGCGCAATGGCAGCGCAATGGCCTGGCATGCGTGCAGCCCGGGTTAGATCCTCAGCACCACATACAAACAAAGATGTTGTGTCCGCCGAAAACTAAAAATAAATATTAAAAATTCTATCTCTCTCCTTCTCTCTCTCTCACTCTCTCTTTAAAAAAAAAAAAAGAGAGAGAGAGAGAGAGTATTCTGATAATGCCTTGTACTTTCCAAAATATCAAATGTGCTCAGGCTTCAAGGCCTCACTTCCTACCAACCTCAATTCTACATAATAGAAATCAGCTAGCCACTGGCAGACAGCTGCACCAAAAAGCAAAATGGAGCAGGCACAGTGGTGTGTGCCTGTCATCCCAGAATCATTTGAACCCAGATGTTTGAAGCCAGCCTGGGCAATATAGGCAAGGTCCTCACTTAAAAAAAAAAAAAAAAAAAGAAAGAAAGAAAGAAAGAGAGAAAAGAAAAGAAAAAAAGTTGCTTGTATCTGCCCCAAGAGAAAGGAAACCAGTCAGCCTAACAAAAAGCAGTCTTGAGCCTAAAAAGATTATTTTGTTTTATTTTATTTTATTTTGTGGTGCAGGGATGCTCTATCACCAAGCTCATCGCCAGCCCTCTTTATTTTTTATTTTGAAACTGCATCAAGGTGGGCGCAGTGGCGCACACCTGTAATCTCAGTGACTCATGAGGCTGAGGCAGGAGGATCACAATTTCAAAGCCAGCCTCAACTTAGCAAGGCCCTAAGCAAATCAGTGAGACCCTATCTCTAATAAAACATAAAAATAAACAAGCACTGGGGATGTGGCTCAGTAGCTAAATGCTCCTGGGTTCAATTCCTGATACAAAAAAAAAAAAAGCTTAATGAAAACAGCATCTAAGTTGCTGAGGCTGGCCTTGAACTTGAGAGCCTCCTGCCTCAGCCTTCTGAAGACCTGGGATTACAGGTTTGCACTACTGTTCTCTGCTTAAAATTTAAAAAAATAAATAAATTTAAGATCCAAAAAGTGCTGGAAATTGGGAACGTGAAGAAAAGAAAATAGCAATGTTTGTGGGGTTAGAAGGGACCACGTGGGACTGAAATTGTTGTTTTGCCAACTCCTAACTTCCCATACACAAACGCAAATGCAAATTGAGCTACTTAACAGCAGAGCTCCCCAAAGTTATCTTAATTATAATAATCAACCAATCACACCCAGATAAGTGGGGATTACCAGCAATTAATACACACCCACACACCCACAGAGACCCGGCCTCTCTCCCTCTACTAAGAGTGTCTACCATCAGCTATTATACACTTGCGAGCACATTCACTGCACACACACTCCACACAGAAACCCAAGCACAAGTCTGTGTGTGGCACTAGCAGGCTGCCTAAAGTCTCCACAAACACAAAAACTTAAACTTAAAAATGGGCCCATCCGCCATTTTGTTCTCAATTCCCCGCTCCAAGCCCTACCTGAGCTGCCTTGACCAGCCTCCCCACAAGGATTCATTCTCTGCTCCCATCTATTTCCACCCATGGGTGACAGTATAACTGCTGCTGGTCCAAACCAAGGAGTAGGGCTAGAGTGGGTGGGAGAGGAAGGATCTGGGACGAAGTGAGTCAACTCAAGGCTGAAAGGCTGCAGGGCTGTGAGTAGGCCTGGGGTGGAAGAATTTTTCAAAAAGAAAGAAGGCTGTGGGTGATGTGGTGGTGACTGCCAGGTCACTAGAACCCACAGGGGGACAGGCCAGCTTGGCAAAGCAGGAGGACAGAAAAGAAGCTGTTCTCTGAGCCCAAAATTCAGAAGCGAGAAGAAATGGCCACAGACTTCCCAGATCACCAGAGCCCAAGCTGAGATATGGGGCCCTTGCTGGGCTGGTGGGACTGAACTGGGGTGGTGTGTCTTCTGTCTCCCACCCTGAGCATGGGGCCCCTGAGGCCTGATCCAAAGGGAGCTGTGAAAGGAAAAAGTGAGGAGCTACTGGGACCCAAAGGAGCCCCTTAGAATAAGTCCAATAATGTGAGAATGTAAAACACACCAACTTGCACATGTTTATGAAATGACAAAGGAAGCTGGGTGACATTTAGTTATTTATTTTCAAGTTTGCTAATGGTATTGTGTTAATTTTTTTTAAGATCCATTTTTTACAAATGTGTAGAGAGCCTACTAATTACTATGTTACTAATACAGCTGTAGACAAGTTGGAGTGAGTGGAGATAAAGAAGAAACAAGCTGGGGACAGTGGCACATACCTATAATCCCAGCTACTCAGGACGCTCAGACAGGAGGATTGCAAGTTCAAGGACAACCTCAGCAATTTAAGCAACTTGTTTCAAAATTTTTAAATATTTGAAAGGGCTGGGGATGTAGCCCAGTGGTAAAACACCCCAGGTTCAATCCCCACTACCACAAAAAAGAAAAAGAAACGACAAAATTGGACCTGTACTGATGACTCTTGAAATTGGATGATAGGTACATTTTTCAGTCTACTTTTGTATATAGCAGG